GGAAATACACTAGGGCACAGGAAATTACCTCAGGTTCCAAAACATTTACAGTACAGGCAAGCCAGGAGCATTCTGTGCTTATACCTCTTAATCAGAGTTTTAGCAATAGCGAGAAAGTGAAGTCTATTGCCTGCTGCTCTGTTAGATCTTTCTTTCCTCCCAGTGCTGTGGCCATGGAGATCAACAGATGCAGTGCTGACACAGACCCCCCTTCTCCCACCTGGTCATTCCTGGTAACTCATCCAAGACCATTAACCAAAACCTACAGTTTTGAAAATTTCTCAGCACAAAAATAGCTTCCTCAGGCAAGTTCTACATCCTGGCTGCTGATGACACTGCACACAAACGACTTTTAGTTTATCCACAGCCATTCCAGGAAAACAAGAGGGAAGAGAAGATGTGGATTTCTAAACTGCAAGACACAGAGGAAAGGTCTCCTTCTGAGGTGTTGTACCAGAAGGGAACAGGCACATAACCAGTTTTGTCTTCAACACATGCCTGGCTGTTCCTCAGCCCACTGGAACACGCGAGCTCACAGCAGGCAGGCCCATCGAGAGCTCTGCACAGCATGCACTTTCTTCCTCCACCTACTCTGAATGAGATGGAAACAACTCCCAGCATTCCTCTGAGTCAGAGGAACAGATGAAACACAGCTTTGCTCTTTCTTTCAATGGCTGGATGCCAGGACAGGAGGACAGCAAGTGCCTTAAGGACAAGGTGGATGGGAACAGGCTGCATTCCCTGTGTCTGGCCAGGCACACTCAAGCTCCTGTCTCACTCTTCCAGCATCAGGCAGCTTGTCTCTGCTTACCCCTAAAACCTCATTTCCACCTCTGGCCTCCTCCTGCAGCACAACAGGCTCGCACCTGGGGACACTCTGCCTGACTTGACTGCAGATCTACTTCACCGGCCTCGGTGTGCCAGCAGCACACATCCTGTCCTGGCAGCAGCATGCCCAAACAGATCTAACCAAGTGTGACCATTACCTCTCTGAGTCCCGGTCGTATCTGAGTCGTTTCCTTTCTGGTGAATCCATCTGCTGGAATTTCTCTCTCCAGTCATTTCCTTTGTCTTTATGTCTCCCCTTCATAACAGAATGAACAAAGTAAGAAAAGGAGCTATGAAGGATTCAGCACTGCAGGAGATTGCTCTGCAGCCAAGTCTCATCTCATCCTCAGCTGGCTTGAAGGCTGTCCTGGGGACCCATAAACACTGAATGCTCACATCTCACAGTCCACTTGCTCTGTCCTGATGGCATCTGTTGGGCTGTCCCAGATCTATGGTTGCAGCCTTCCAGCTACTGCACCAGGAGCAGCTCTGTGACCTTCCAAACAATGGACAGGTACAGCTCTCCTGCTCCTGTCCAGGCAGCAGCAGTTCATACACATCAGTTTTAGATGGAAATCTGGGTCCCACTTAGCCCAGAGCCCAGTGCTGGTTTCCAGGACAACAGAAACACACTGAGACCCTCTCCCTGAAGAGGGAGACATGCTCTTAGAAGTCAAAGGTCCGAATGCAGGGTGTGCCCCTAGCTCAGTGCCAAACTCTTTGCGAGGCATTTGATGCCTGGCTGCAGAAACAGGTCTATAACTGGAGGGCTTGTCTGGGACTACCATCCCCCCAGTGCAGAGGCCCCAGCAGCAGTCTGCCCACCATCACAGACTCACCTCACGCTCTCTCTTCTCCAAATATGCCAGTTCCTGCTCGGACCGTTTAATCTTCATATGAATCTCTAGGTTTTGCTGAAAGGAGGAAAGCATAAGCCAGTGTAAAGTAGAGAATACTTGACAGGGTCATTTGCTCCACCCATAATGAGTACAGGCAAAGCAGCATGCTTTTGCACCTGCACTATACCAAGCATAGCAACCTCTCTTGCAGCCCAGACTACCTGTCCCGCACACTGGAGCAATCAGTCCTATGTAAACCTGCATGCAGCTTGGCCTTCCTAGAAGCAAGAGCTCAAAGGCAGCACAGAACATGGGGAGGCACGTGTCAAGTTCTCACTGCTCTCACACTCGTGTGTGCCAGCACCCCACTCTCCACAAGCCTTAGCTATCTCACTACAGCTTACAAAGTCACACCTTGGTGTTATAGCACAACCGTGGAAGGAACAAGCAGCTCACACAAGGCTTTGAATAGAGCTTTGGGGGGAACTGTGCCTGCTACTGTGTCAAATTCAGCACCCAACCACTGCATTTTCCCTGCAGATCACAAAGCTATCAAGCCAAAGGCAGCTCCAGCACATCCACAGCCCCCAGTTCTCTCATACCTTGTGAAGGTTGGAAAGCTGCTGGTGCTTGATGAGCACTTCTTTGTTGGGAAACTGCCTCCTGCACAGCAAGCAGGCTAGCTTGTTCCAGTCGGTCAGCTTGTCATCACTGGCCTTGGCCTTCCGCAGCTGCTCCTCACGCTGTGCTGGTGGGTGGGGGGGAGGTGGCAGCCACTGAGCCTGTGACTGCTCCTCCTCTTCCTCCTCCTCTTCATTGTCGCTGTCTCCTCCATACTCTCCCAGAAGTCCTATCAGAGGGTTCACCACCTTGGGCTGAGGAAGCAGGGCAAAAGCATGACAATTTGTAGCATCAAGAATGTGCAGCCACCAGGGTTCTGCTTCCCCAACCAACCTCCCCATGACTTGTGTGTTCCAGCCCAAGAGGCAGAGAGCAGCTTCCCAGCAGCACAGGCAGGGAATGGAGAGAAGCTGTCTGGCTTCTTTCTGTTCACATCACAGGGCGGAAGCCCTTTTGTTCTCTAGACAGGCCATGCTTTGGTGCCAAGCTTTCCCAACCTGCCATACACCTGAGCACAAGAAGCTGACCAAGGCAGTGGCTATTTGGCAGGCAGTTGCTGTCAACCACCTCCTCCAGCAATGAAGATGAGTGAGGTTTGGCCTTCCTCAGTCTGGAGGTGGCTGGAAGAGTTTTCTGCCTGAGGACTGCTTGAGTGAAGAGACCCTGCTTAAATGAAGGTACCAAATTTCCCCATGCTAGAATCCCAGAAACAGGGTCAGTTATAAAACAAACTGCCTTTGCCATTCTATGCCCAGTGCCCCTCCTCTGGCATGAGAAGTTGGCACCTCTGTTACTCACAGTCACAGCCAGGCTGTGGGGAGTCTCTCTAGTCCTGTACCCAGGCTCAAACAAGGCAAAATACAATCCTATGGAGATGCTTACCGGGGCTGCACTCTCTTCCTTTTTCACAGAGGGAGGAAGAGGTTTTTTAAATACATCTTCTGCAGAGAACTTCTCCTCTCCAGTCTCAGTCTGAAACAGTCAAGATCAGATGTTAAGACCACCATAACATGGGCTCGATATACGCAACAGCTAAGCACCCATTCAAACAGGCCTCCAAGGAAACCAGGCAATTGGTAGAAACAAGGTGGTGTTTTTGGTGCGAGGCAGTCCCATTCTGGGGAATCCACAGCTGCCCTGGAGCTATGCCCTTGGTTTCAGGGACAGCTGCAGCAGCTCACTACACTGTCCCAGCCTGCCCCACACTCCTTCTCTGCTGCACTGTGGTGCTGACAGTGGCTCCAGCTGTGCCTCAGACCAGGGAGGGAGCTGGGACAGGGCCAGGTCACATCTGAACACCTCTGTGTGTGCACAAAGAACATGGAGACCAGATGCAAAGCCATCCCCACTGCCAAACACCAGCAACTTTCTCTGCTGTGACTGTGGCTCAACATATGGTCAGGCTCAACTAGCATAGTGAGGTTTTCAAGATCTTCCTTATTCTGGACGGACAGAGGACACCAGAGACTGCAGTTACCCAGCACTACAACAATGAGCCTGTGATACTCACCTGTGCACCCAGCAGCACAGAGTAGGCTGGGGTGAAGCTTCACATTATGCACTTTACAGAGAACTGGACTGAAGCCCTGGACAGGCTCTAGTTCAGCAGTTCATGGGGTACTCATACTTGACCAGGGAAGAGAAGTGCCATGCAACACCTTACCAGGCCTGTGCCCTCGTCCTTTTTCACAGAGGGAGGCAATGGCTTTTTGAAGATGTCTTCTGCAAAGAACCTCTCTTCTCCAGGCTCATTCTGAAAAACCCAAGACTGGGCATCAGGCCAGCAGTAGCACAGGGATCCGAGAGTGCTCAGAGCAGCCAGAAAGCCAATTCTGAGCATAATGGAAAACAGGTAGCTGGGAAAATGATGGAAGGATTTCTACCGGAGATGCTTCTACCCTCTATTTAGACAGGACCATGTCTCTCCTAGATCAGTGTCCCTGAAAGCAGGCATCCTCCATACCAGATGAGACTCCCTGGCTGGTTTGGTACCAGCCTCAAGGACAATTACACCCCTCAGGCGCCAGCTGCCCAGGACTGGTTACACCACAGAGCATATCCATACCAAGAGGCAAGGAAGAACATATGGTTTCTACATTGGTGGCTAAATCACTTCTACTAATGCTCCTGACATTCCTCATGCCCTGTCAGTATAACAGTCCTGAGCCAGGCTCAAAGACCACTTTGGGCAACTACTCCCAAACAGCATCTCTCCACACTGGGGAGACAGTGTTTGCCCATTGGGAGCAGCAGTAACGGCACTGACCCAAGGCAGGAACTGCAGTTAGGGGAGAGCTGAGTCTCTGTTATCATCTGCCTTGGTATGTTTAAACATGTCTGCTATTTTTCTGTCGGTTCTATTACAAAGGCTGGGTGCTCTCAGCAGTGTGAGTGAAATGCATGTTTTGGTTATCCAGATGTTTCTGAAACCTTTGCCATAAGGAAGAGGTGAGAAGCCCTGACTTAACGGCACTAGAAAAAAAAGTTAGGAACTTATTCCCACCTAGCCAGACAACAGCTAGGTTACTGGCCTGCTGCTGACCCCACATATTTCATTGTCTTCTCTCACTGTCCCTCCCTTTTTCAATCCTCTAATTACTCTCCATTTTCTAACCTCTCTTACCTCAGCCTCCTGGCCTCAGTTCTCTGATCATTCTGATGCCTGGAAGGATTTACCTTAGCAGAAGTACTTTTCCCTTTGTCCTTTTTGTCCCTGTTGTCCCTGCTATGTGGTTCCTTCCTTTCATTTGTCCATTCTTGGCTCCCATGCCGCCGCCTTCTGCTCTCTGTGGGGGATGTGCAGGCTTCTCGGTCTATCGTGACTTCCCTCTGAAAGAGGCATTTTGAGCAGTCTTAGCCAAACCCCTGCAATCTTCTTACTGGGATTGGGCTGGGGAGACCAGCACAGGCAGATGGGACTGCAGACCGCAAAGGCTTCAGAACTTTGTGGGGGCAGAAGACAGCCACCAGAGCACTACCCTGCTTGCCCAGAACATGGAGACCTCTGGGATCACGAAGACAAGATTATAGTTCCAACACCTCCCGATGGCTCTCTTTTGGCATCCTTGTAACTACTGCTGGCTGAGGTCAAGAAGCGAAGACCACAAATTAAAGCAGAGCTCTGCTGTCCATCTTTTATTAGACAGTCACATATCACATGTCTTCAGTAAAATTTAGCAATGATGCTCTGCTCAAGTCTACTTGAGGAAGAGCAGACCAAAAGGCAGGGCTTCAGAGGTCAGAGGTGGCTACAGCTGGTTCAACACACAGGTAATGGGTTCCTAGCCTCTCAATAATTTGATCTTTTGCAATGTGTATCTGTTTTATACAGATCAGAGGACGGAGTGAGAGAAACAAAGCCACCTCTATACCGCCCTATGCTGGCCTGTCTTCAGGATCTAGCTGCAAAATCTCTCCAGAGAAGCACAGTTCGTAAGAAGGGCGGTGTGTAAAACTTCCTTCCCATGCACTCACCTGAGTCCTGGGGTCATAGTACGTCCCAGCTATGGGATTGTAGTATTTCCCAGTGTCAGGATCATAAATGTATGTGGACATATCTGATGGAGCTGAAGAGAGAGACAAGAGTTAGCACCACAGTATTCCAAAGGCAGAACTTGCCTTTTACAACAACAAAAGCATGAGCAAATATTACACTGGTGAAAGAACTTTTCTCTCCTGGCAAGAGAGGTGTGAGTATCTGCACATCACTGGACCAAAATCTTCTTCTCTTTAAAGAGTTAAAAGGGTGATAAGTTCTTTCGGTTTCTTCTGGCAAAAGTTGCACATCAAAACAGACTTCAGGGGCAGTGCAGAGATCACCAGACCACAACAGGGACAAAGACACGAAATTCAGTAATTTCCCTAAGAATGGGATAATGAGTACCAGGCGTATCCACCCACCCCTGTGAACAAGGAAGAGCTGTTCCCTTTCAAACAGTCTCCTGTTTAAAGTGATGACACTCCCCACATCCCTTCCACCCCGTGGGTGCATGAAAGCTCTAGAGAAGAAAGGGGAATGAACCGTTTTCTACAGGAAAAGCCAAAGGCCTTAAGGGTAGTAAGCCCATAATGTCAGGAATGCTTCTCATTTCCAAAGTGCTCTTGGATAGAGCTCAGCAATACTATATATAAGTCAGTAGAACAATCAGGACTCCTCTTCCAGCTACTGGCACTGCTGCACCAAGTGTTTTCTTCCATCTCCTCTAGTAACTGCCAGGCTGATTTCATCCCATCAGTTTTCCACAACAAGGAAAAATAGGCAGCAAGTTTCCTTTATCTTTATGCAATTTCGTACAGTGAGAGTAGAGAGAAACACATCATCAGATAGGAAAATGTGACTAAACAAAGTTGGCAAAAAAACTCAGAAGTGGGTGTAGCAAACAAACCTACTCTTAGCCTTTAAAAATATTTTTGGGCTGATTTCTACATGTCAGTGCCCTTTTAAGGAAGAAAAGTCTCCACAGTAGGAGTGAGGCAGAGTTTAACTTACACTGTGCTCTGGTGCGTCGCTGCAATTCGCCACCTCTCCTGTCTCTCATGCCCCTTCTGCCCTGGAGTAAGTGAACAACACAAACAGATCAGAGACTCTTTGACAAACATCATATTGCTTCTCCTCCCTCTCACAGGCCCAAAGTTCAGGAGAATAGCTCATACAGCTACCCTAAATAGAGCACAAGCAGACAGAGCTTTTCATCTACAGAGCAATGGATAGTGCTGCAAAGCACAAGACCTCTGCATCTTCCATGAGAGGGGCTCATGGCAATCTGTGTGGAAGCCTCCAGTCCATTCACCACAATAAGAGCCCTGTAGTCTAGTAACAAACGCTAGAGAAGAGACATTCACTCCAGGAACTGAGATCAGTCATCCATTAAATCACTCTGTAAAAGTGTGGTATCAAGTAACCCAGCTCAGAATTTCCTCCAGCAGCACCTGCACTCTGACTTCACTTCTGCCCACATGATAAACACAGTGTGAGGAGCAGAGCAGCAGTGAGGGCACAGTTGAGTGTTATCATTCCATCTTCAGACATGTTGAACTTTCAGCAGGCTAAGGGGAAAACACCTAACAAAGTCAGGCCGGTCACCCTCAGTGCTCCCTCCCTGTGCAGACCTACCGGGCCATAGTAGGAATTGTCACCATGCTCCCCATAGTCATTCCTGTGGAGATAAAAGTGGCAGGTTAACGTCGATTTGGCTTCACATTAACCTCAGTATACTCAAAATATTCAGCATGACTGATAAAGGCAGAAAGACTATGTTTGCTGGCCAGATGTTGGATTGTGTCCATCCCAGGAGACAGAGACTTGGCAGATAGCTGTCTCCACAAGAGTTATGACCACACTCTGCTGTGTCCATGAAGATGAATCTTTCCAATGCTTTTTAAAAAGCTGAATCCATTAATTCCCTCACAATGGGATTTGATGGCTGGACAACAAGAGGCCATGTAATATGATCACTTAATCCCATATTGCTCAATCACTGAAGCTTCTTCAAGCTCTGATGCCTTCACCTCTCCAACACATTTTTAGGTTGTAGGAACACCTGTGCTAATTTCCCTGCCAAACTTTAAGCACGTGGTCTGACAACACACCTCCAGTCTCACTGTCCATCACACAAAGGACAACCCCACTGCTTCATCTGTCTATACCTTCTCCTCCCTGTAGCAAGATTCACTTCCAACGTACGCCCATCAATGCAGATTGGGGGATCCAGGTTCTGCAGTATCTTTAGTAACCTCAGCGCCTCCTGTAAAAGGAAAGGAGAATGTCACTTCCATAAGAAGGAAATATAAGCTCATTTTCCAAATCCAGACTGCCTGACAGGAATGCTTAGTAGGACAAGAAACACAACACTAAATATTAGTTTAAATATTAGTGAAGAGTATTAAGGATGCAACGAAAGGGGTAAATGCATTGTGAGGTTCTCTGCTTGTGCTACAACTGCTCTCAGCAGCCCAGCTAGGCACTGCATTCTCCTAGAGCTGCTAGACAAGGCAGCACCATGGCTGCTGTTGCCCCAAAATGTTTTGGTGAATACCCTCTGGACCAATGCCAAAGCACAGCTATCAAGTCTGGGAGTCACACAGAACCAGAAAATGTGAACCCTCCAACATGGGACTGTCTGTTAATTGAGATTTTTGCCTTTTGCAAACAGAAACCACTGAATTCAAGTTCCCCGCAACAAAATATCTGTGCAATAAGTGTTCAAGCATCTGAGGGTCTACAAAAAAAATGCACTGAGGCAAGAAACTCAATCAGTGTCACAGCTTGTGATAATAGTCAATCTTTGGCTTCTAAAGCCAGAGAGCAACAGAATTCAGATGTCAACACGGAGAGCATGTGAAAGCAAGGAAACCACTTACAGCATGAGACTCCAGTTCGATGAAGCCATAGGTCTGCCCCATCCGTCCAGCTTTGTTCTTCATGATGCGCACGCTGGATGTGGAGAGCCGCACGTACGGGGCCAGGAGCCCCACGATCACTTCTGGTGGGGTGAACCGAGTGATACGCTTCAGCATAATTGCTGTGAAGCACAATGAGGGAGGTGGCCCGGAAAGAAAAAGCAGTTAAAAAAAGCTAATTTAGAACTAAGTTTATTGTGACTAAACCCACTCAAAGCAACAGCACAACTTCCTGCAGTTGAGTCTCAAAGCCATTGCTTTTTTTCTCTCCACTTCGCAAGATGCTCAGACTATCACCTCCAACTGCTAACCCTCCCTTCCTAGAAAACAGAGCAGAAAGTAGCCCCTTGTCATAGCTCAGCCCAGTGCAACTCCTGGCCAAAGAGACTTGCTGCGGTGCTAAGTTAACTGCACCATCCTGCAGTTGTCTCACCTTGAATTAATTTTCCTAAAGGCAATTTACCAGCACCTTTGGAGCTGCAAAGCCCACCATTACTTGATGCTGTGGATTTGCACAACACAGAAACAGCCTCCACAAACTTCAGTGAAATCCTGCCCTTTCTGCAACATGGAGTACAAGCAAGAGGAACTCAAAATTGGGCCTTGTGCCACTTACTTCTGCTTCCTCCACCATCCTGTGGTGTGGCTTCCTCTGCTTCTCTCTGAGAAGGTGGCTCCTGGTGCCGGTCCATGTCCCTTCTCTTCTCCTGTGAGGGTCGTCGCTCTCTCCCTTCATCTCTCTTCCTTGGCTCCTGTTCCTGAGGCTGACACTCCTGCTGCGGAGCAGGAACTGAGGGCTGAAGAGGCTGTTTTGGAGATCCTGGTTGACCTGACAGTTCTTGCTCAGGTGTTTCAAGCTTTGTCTCTGCTATTACAGAGGAGAAATGGACTGGATTCACATACAGTGCTTCAAGTAGGTATTTTTCTTCTCCTATTTTCTGGCCCCTGCAGCAGTGCTCTTTTGCCAAGGAGCAAAAGGCCAACATGCTCTGCCCTTAGCACATCATGTATCTTAACACTCTGCAGACACAAGGTGTGTACAGGACAAGTAGGTACTGCTGATGCTTCCATAGCCTTGTTTCATGTTGGGCTCCTTTTACCAGACCCTTCCTGTCCAACACAAGAGGCTTTCTGGCCTCCTTTCAGGACTGGCTATTGCCTGGGCAAACATGAATCAGGGATGGGTTTGGATATGTTTGTTCCATGTTCAGGACAATCTACATGGCAGTTATATCCTTATTATCCATCATGTATTCTTGAACAGCTGAGCAATAACAACTAGTACTGTCATCCTGTCTCTATGCTAGAAGAAAATGGAGTTCAGATCCCCTTGATCATTGAGTGAAACAAATCATGATAAAAACACTGATTTCACTGAGTGCCTACTGACTACAAATGAGGCAGACATAATGTGGAAACACCCTGCCCCCCAGCAGTCTCTGTATGCAATACAGAGAAGATAAATCCCATCAAGCTTCGGTGCTTGAAGGCCTCTGAACCATGTGGCTTCACTTCAAAAGAGATCCCTACCTGAGCTTCTAACGCTTCTGGAAAGGGAAGCCAAAGCTGTGTGGCTGCAGTTGGACATCAGCAGCCCTGCACCTGCTGCTGAAACCTCTTCCCACAAAGAGAAAGAAATGAGTGTGCAAGACTTGGCACACTGTGAAGCCTCCCTCTTTAATGTTCCCCATAGTAACTCCCCCCTCTCATTCTGTCTGGGCAGTAGGCAGCATGGCAGAACACATGAGGACTTTGCATGCTGGGAAAGCTGCACACTGCCTTGCTAGGCTGTCAGCACAGCTCACATTGGACAGACCTGCACTCATGTGTCTGCAGTTTGTAGCATGCAGAGTTTTGGCTACAGAACCTCATGTAAAATTTGCATATGAAACTAGTTTGCACCTGCAGCTGCAAAAACTGCCCATGCAAATCACACAGACAGGAGCACAACCCTGGAGATGGGGAGGGCAATTCTCTTACTCAATTCTTGTTCAGTCAATGCATCCTCTCCCTCAGCACCACCTCTAGACTCTGGGCCTGCTCTGCTCCCTGTAAGAGAGGAAAAAAAAAGTCCATTTCACAACCATCAGTCACAAAGCATGCGAGAACTCACGCAAAGCTGCAGTAACTACTTCATATGCCTAGAGAGCTGTTTTGTTACACCCAGTCATAAAGAGGTTATCTTATGACATCTTTTGCCAAACAATAAAAGTAGGCCAGTAAGAAGCATGCACCACAATCTGTCTTCACAACAGCTTAAAGGCTCTGTTTAATTTTCTCCCCAGCAGTTTCGTTACAACCCACAGTTGTGTTGGGCCAGCTGTGTGAATTCTGCCTTCATAATGCTGATGGAGGAGCCATAGCACATGCAAAGCACAACCACAGGGATGCTGCTTTAGTAAATAGTGAGTTGTGCATCAACAGTTATTGTACTGCCCTTCTGCCTGAGTTAGGAGGGCAAGAAATGCAAACATAGAAGTCTGCTTAAAGATACAGAGCCAAATCTTGCAAATCTTGCCTGGAACACCTGCTCATTTCAAAGAAATCAGTTCCTCAAGGAAGCATGTTTTGGCTCTTTCATCCTCTGCCCCCCAAAAAGCAGAGGTGCTGGTGGAATGAGGAGAAGCTCCTGGAGAAGAACTCCTCTCTGTGGATTTCTTACAGCCAGTAAGGTGAGTTCAGCAATTCCAATCCTGAATTCACCTCCAATCTCCTCTCCCAGGTAACAAGCAACAGAACAAATGGAAATGGCCTCAAGTTGCCCCAGGGGAGGTTTAGACTGGATATTAGGGAAAATTTCTTCACTGAAAGGGTGGACAAGCATTGGAACAAACTGCCAAGCCCAGGGAAGTGGTGGAATTGCTGACCCTGGCATGTTCAGAAAGCATGTAGATGTGGTGCTTAGGAAAATGGTTTAGTGGTGGATTTGACAGAGCAGGGATAATGGCTGGGCTCAATTATAGAGGTTTTGTCCAGCCTTAATAGTTTTATGATTCTATGATCCTAACCTGAGAATATCAAAACAGGGACACTTAAAACATGCAGCTGCATCTCCCAAGGAAGGTGAGTTGAGGAGAAGCCATCTCACCTATGGCCAGCAGTACTAGCTCACAGTCTCAGCTCACACACCACCTGTAACTCTGTGGATGGACAATGCCAGAGCAATAGGAAGGAAAGGCCAGTAAGACACCTCTCCACCAAGCCTTTCAAGAATAGAGAACCTGGCAACAGCACATCCACATGTAATATCTTTAGCACAGCCAGGCAAAAAGGGTCTGAATGAAGCAAAACCAAAAATCCTCCTACACAGTGCTCAGCTAGTCCACCAAGAGGGATGCCACAGTGAAGCTAGAAGAGAAACTTACTTGTCAGGGCAGATGAAACTTTTAACTGACCAAGCAGAGGGGACCAGATATACTCACCATCCCTTGGGAGCTTGCAATAGGAGCAGGAAGATCTGTAGCCCACAGTACACACCTTACACTGCAATGGAAGATGGACAGCATGAGGAAGTCATGTTTTGAAGGCAGTGGGTACTACCTACTCCAGAATGTCAGGCTCTGCAGTGCTTTCAGAAAGTAACAGCCTCAGAAATGTTACAGTGAGAGCTTGAGAGAGAGGATGGGTAACGGCAGCAGGAGCCTTGGCTGAAATGGCAGGGAAACACTCATACAGCTCACAGCTGGGATTGTTGTGGGAACAGGGTTTTCACACAACTTCCGAGCACAGATTTATTCACTAGTCCTTGAGATTGGACCCTTCCTTCTCTCAAGAGATGCTGGACCAGAAGCTCCCTGCTAGGTACCATGTTGATTCAAAGGATTCAAAGTCACCTTGGCATTCTCTAATCTCAACTCACTCTTCAAGCAGTGACAAAGTCCTTACCTGAGCTAAACTGTAGATACTGATGCAATTTGGAGAGTTAGTGAAGAGGTGTCTACTAACCAAGAGGTAGAGCTGTACAGGCTCAGACAGTTATCCCAACCAGAGCCCCCGTGGAGAGCCAAGTGCCCCATCTTCACAGCTCTCTCCAAACGCAGCATTCCTAACTTCCTCCTTAAGCTCTTTGTAAATGCACTGCTTCTCTTTCAGACCATTTTTTTCTCCTGTAACTGAAGCCTTGTAAATGCTCTGGGGCACAAGGAAGCTCTTTCAGATCATGGTTACACACAGCAACAGTGGGGAGATAAACTGCAGCCAACTCTCAGGGCACTGAGAGCTGTTTGAAACCACTGCCTGAAACTTTTATCTCTACTTATCTCTGGAGCATTGAAAGCAGAGACAAGGCACTGAGCAACAGCCCTGCTGGCAGCTGAGTGCATTCAGTTAGCCTGGATGAGGGTCTGTGTAGCCCAGCATGATCCAATGGTCATGGTGGGAGTCTAATTAGAACCAATCCCTTCCGGCCCTGCTGCAACGTCTTGGTCTGCAGTCAGTGGGAATGCAAGCACCAACCCTGCACTTTCTCTAGCAATCACCCCCAGCCTGCTGCAGCTGAAAGGTCACATGTTCTGGGAGAACCCTGGGAAGGGCAAGGAAACAAACTGACCTTTGGGCAACTGTGTCTTCCCAGAAATGGGCTGGTTTCAGTCTGTACTAACTGCTGCCTGGACCTGGACCCGTTTCCATGCTTCCTTCCTTGCTGTACTTACTACACTCAAAGCTAGACCACAGGCTCCTGTGTGAGGCAGAGGGGTGGTTACACATAGGAACCGGAGTGAAAGCCTGTTCCATTCCAGCGGGCAGAATCACTGTCTCATTGTGGTTTTGAAGGAGAAGGGACCCACACGCTATTTTCCTCAGACGTTAAAAGGGAACCACTGCATCAGGATGAAGCTGCGCTGTGTGTAAAACTCTGGCTATTTGTATGAAAGCAACATGCACTCAGAGCTGGGACAAAAAACAAGGCAGGGAAAAGCATAGAAGAGGCAAGAACTTAGGACAGGTATTAATTACTCTGAAGGATCTTCAGTCACCCAGCAAGTATCTAACACTCCTCTGCTATGAGTGCCAGCAGGAGAAGCACAAAACAGCTCTCCAAGCACATACTTACACGTTTGCAGCGCCAAAACTCTGGGCATGGAGTGTATTCAAGAGTCACTTCTTTGCCACCAATCGAAAGAGTTCCCTGTTGAGACAAGGGCGTAAATGACGAATGTGCCCAGCACACACAGACTACTCAGAGGCAAAGAAAGGGGTTAAAGTTCTGTTTCCTAAAGGTTTTGCAAGCGAAACAGGATGAAACATGGAGAAATTCTCCTGGTTCAGTTAGCTGGAGCTTTGCCATGGAAGTGGAAGGGAAACTGCCTGTGCCCTGCTCTAGGACAGGGCTACAAAGCTGTGTTAGCTGCAGAGAAGCCAGTCAGGAGAGGCTTTGCCACCTCTCAGGAAGAGCAGAGAAAGAGTAACCAGAGTGGGAGACTCCTTTAACCTGCTTCTGTCCACATGCTCACAAAGGGCAGCTGGATACCCTCCCTCACACCAGCCACCACCAGGCTGGCCTCAGGGCAGCTACTTGAGGAGGAGCACGAGATAAAATGCCACTGAGGTGAGCGAATTTTCATACTTGGGTTAGTCTTCATGTCACTCGTGAAACCCTGGCTTTGCTTCAGAGAAACAAACATGCCAGCACGTGGCAAGACCACTGGCCCCGCAGCCAGCACAGGCACTGCTCTGCAGCCAGTCCTTAGTGGGCCTGGCCTCGAGCACCTGAGTAGCAGCACCAGAGGGGCTCCACTGCACACAGACACACCGCTTCCAGATCCAGTGTATGATGCTTTGGAGAGGTGTCAGGAGCCCAACAAACCCACAAGCTTTGCTGAAATGCAGATGACTTAAAGATGAAATGAAGTTGTAAGTGCAAGTCCCCCAGCTCCTGCCTGAAGCAGCCCATCAAAGCAGTGAGCAAGGATTCCTGATGGCTCTCCTGGTGTCTGCTGTGCACAACAGACCACACCTGGGCATGCAGGCCAATTCACAAATGCAGGGAGTCATGAGACATCTCCCGTTACTGGAGGCACTGCCAGACCATGCAGTCTGTATTTCCCAATACCACAATATGAAACTTGGTGAAAATAATGAGACCCAGACCTCCCAAGTTCCAGGAAGGCAGCTGCTGCATGGTACAGATAAATCTCAGGGAGCTGGAGTGGTCCCAAGCTATTTTGGGGACCTTTGGTGAGTCAGAAGCTTCCCAGGTACTCTGACCCAGTAGCCTAGTCACGCAAGAGCTCCCAGTGCAAACTATAACCATGAAAAAACAAGTTCCCAGAGTTACTAATCAGAAGTCATGATACACCCATGCATAACGTGAGGGAGATGCTTTGAAACATGTAAAGTGGGAGTGAAGAGTTCATGGGAGGGAATCACTGAAGAGCAGTAAAACAATCCTTTAACTCCTCTGAAAGAATGCAGCAGATAAAGTTGGAGACCAAAGACACTGCCCTGTGAGGTGGGGTTCCAACACCTCCCCTCTGCACAGCCTGTCTTTTATGGAGCAAAGCTGTCCTTTCCTACCAGGCCTACATGCTCTGAACACTTCTGGGCATTCCTTTTTGCCACCCAGCTCCTCAAACACTGTTTTCCAGCATGGATTTGCCTTTGCTGAACAGAAAGCTGAGCCCCTCATGGACCTTGCTGAAGACTGGTGTGTGCGCCCAGCGCACAGTGCTGCATCCTTGGAGTCTATCCACAGCATGGGCTATTGCACACTTTACAAGTCTATGAGAGGGTCTGCACCTTCTTTAAGGCATGTGAGGAAACACAAGTGAGAAAGAGAAGTGGAAATTCAGGTTGTTCCACTGGGACTGTTGGTCCCTCTGAGACTTAAGTCTTAAGATTATTTTTGGTTTTATGGAAAATGGTATTTAAGTGTATGTGGTGCTGGTCCCTTCTGCAAATTCCATTCTCAGAGGCTGCAGAAAGTGTCACTTGCATAATTACTCCCTAATTTCCCTAACACCCTGCTGATGGCCTGCTCACTTTTCCAGCAAGCTCTCTCTTACTGATTTCTTCTTGATAAAGTAATTTTCAAGGTTGCAATCATCATTTAACACTCCAAAATGAGTCCTTCATTTAGGACACACATTGTCAGGATTCACTGGCTTTAAATTTCTCATTTCCCCATCTTGTTACTAGATTCCATCCCAAATATTTTCAGAGCCTAGTTTCTCCTAGTCACTGTCACTGCTTATTTTTTTTCATCTGAATCTTCTTTTACTCTGCAAAATGTTTTGGGTAATACTCTAAGTTTCAGTTCTCCACTTTCAGTTGAGCAGATCCTGGTGAAATCACAAAGATTTTCTGAGCATTTCAGGGAACAGTGCTGGCCCAGGGTAGGAAGGTAAGCTCAAGGTATGCCACATGTATGGTATCCAGACTATAACAATCTCTTCCATATTCAGGCATTTTATCCTGGGCCTCTCTCAGTGACTCACCTGCTTTGTGCCCATTAATTCTCCTGGATTTTTAACACCCTGTACTTCTGAGCAGCTTGGCTTTTTCTCTCTAAATCAGAACGCTATCAAAATGTCTCTCTGGTCCTCCCAGTCAGGAACCTCCCCCTCAAAACTAGCAGTAAAGGCAGGGTTGACTCACCAATGAAGGGTTTAAAAGGCAGCACAGCTCTGCAGTACTAGCACAGTGAGCTCTCAGCCATGGAAATGCCTAGATTTCCAAGGCCACGAGCAGATTCTACCGGTTTTTCTGAATTGCCCAAATCATCAAAACAGAGCATCAGGACTTCACTGCTGGGAGCAATGATTTGTGGTACTGTTTTATACCTTTCAAACACAGTTATACATGTTTTTTAGCTTAGAGGTCTGGTGGAGATGTAATACTGGATTTCGGTCTAAGTGATACAACTCAGTCCCAGCCATTTCAGCTACAGCTACTAAATATCTGCCTGATGGCCAAGTATGTAAATACTACTGTCAACAGACTCTGACCCATGGAGCAATCCTATCATGAGGCAGTCCTAGACAGCAGTGCCACAAGACCACAGAGCCTGCTTGCAAAAAGTACATGCAGCTCACAGCCGTGTCTCAAAGCCTAGGACAAAGGCTGAGCAGGGACAGGAACAGGTTACATGAAGAGAGGAAAATAATCCCTTAGCCATGATATCCACAGGTGATGAAATCCTTCCAAAAGCACTTTGGACACCGTGTGTCAGCAGGGCACAAGGCTTCAGCAACAAAATTCTGGTTTTAGTAGAGCAGTTTCCAAGCCTTTTGTCCCCAAAAGAAGCACTAAAGAATACCAGTAAGATCTCAAGTGTAAGGATAAGCCTACCAGTAAGAAAAGAGCCAGACCACACTCGTAGCACACATCATGCCCACTCATGAGGTTGCTTTTCACTTGCCTCTAGTTTAACCTCCTTGCAATTGTACTACTACAGTGAGGACGGAGCTCACTGGCTCCGCACAGGACGCAGCTGACTCACATGAGCAGGAGGAGCTGCACATGCTACCGAGTGCTGCAGGTACATGAGCACAGAGAGCTTTGATCCTGCTACCTAGGGAAGCAACAGAGCTACTGCCAGGACCAGGAGACAGCCTGCTGCAAGTCAGGAACTGCACGAGTCACCCGCTTCAGCTGCTTGTCTGTCAATTAGCATTTACAATTGGCACGCTGCGATTTTTCATGCTTGTTGACAGCTTTCTAATGACATGACTGGGGGTTGAGGAGGGGGAGAACTTGCCAAAAAAAGTATCTCTTTGCTCTCAAGACTGAGATGACAGAATACAAATCATCAATGTCAAAGTTTTTGCTAACTGTTTCTCTGAAAAAAAATTAGAGCATTCAAGAGTGACCTAGAAAATTGGAAATGTGGAAGGAGAGCTTTCAGAGCACGGCCACTCCCTCGAATCAAACCAGGCTTCTGCTTTCTCTGAATCTGCACAAACAGTAAAACCTCCAGTAAAATCTTCCTTCAGAACCTCCAAACAGTGAGCTGACAGCTCTCCAAGAATTCCAACCCACAGGTCATGCTTCAGCAGCTACCACAGGGAGACATGGATGTAACAACCAGTGCTGCTGTGGACTGCTGTGGAGGAAGTGTGCTCCAGCTCTTCCAGTGGGATGGTAACCACATGCCACCACCCCTGGTCACAAGGAAGGCCATGGGTACCTGACTCAGTGGACAGCACCTGTCAGTCTCAGCTTTACAGATGACACACCTGGGGCAGCACAAGTCATTGGAACCGAACCAAGGCTCAGCTACGGAGCACCCAAATCTGCATGGATTTATAAGTCAAAGTCTTCTTCTTGGCTACAACCACAGAGCAGCAACCAAGGCAGTGCTGGAGGCGCCTGCACCATGTGGGAACCATCTTCAGACCTCCTGCAGCAGCTGGCTCGTGCACAAAACCAAACACCACTTCAGCTAATTATTTCCTTATATTGTTCATGGTTTGATTAAATGGAAAATAGCTGTGCCATGAACTGAAAGGTTCTGGTATCCTACTCGTTGAGTAATAACGAAGTCAGAAGACTGACAAGGTTGAACATGTTAAAAATGAACTGAAAATATCATGTGTGAACCAATAAAAAACTGTATACAAAGATTATGACAAAAGAATGGTTAGGGGCAGCACAGCAAAGCAGCCACATTAAAACACCAGAATTAACCTCATTTACATGATGTTAATTCAGCCTCTTATGCATATTTACTATAATTAAGATGGTTATTCAAAAACAGTATACATCCATCATGTAAAAATGATTTAAACTGATTGATGACTAGTGCCTTGGGGATGCTCAGACAGTACCCCAGAAGGCAGTCTGGGAATACAGAGGGAGCCCATGGTCCCAGCAGCACTTCCTAGAACAGCGAGCTCTCACCGTCCTCAGGGTATATCGCAGCCCTGGCCTCCAAATGCCCTGGACAACACAGCACAGGGAGACAAGTGGCTGACAGAAGGAGTTGGGTTATCTAATTGTAACTGCAAATCTGACTGCTTTCACGTTCAGCTCCTATTTGAGTATGGATTACAGATGCAAATTTAACAACCCCCAACTACCACACAATGTAAGTTACGTAATGGCATCCTATTCCACTGGCATGGTTCTTAGCTCTGTGCAGAGGCTGGATGGAAGCTGGCAGGGCTCTCTCCCTTACAGCATTAATCT